GTTTGGGGGGCTGAGGGGGCATCCCTGGATTGGTTTTGGGGCCCTTGGTGAGGTCCTGGAGTGGGAGGGCTTTTATGGGGGTGCTGAGGGAGGGGTCCTTGGCGTGGTTTGGGGGGTCCCTGGGGTGGAGGGGCTGGAGAGGAGGAGTCCCTGGACTGGTTGGGGTGGACTGGGGGGATTACTTGGAGTGGTTTGGGGGTTTTTGGCAGCTTTGGGACGCCTGTTTTTGGGGGGGGGCTGCCTTGGGGAGTCTCACCCCAACATCCCCTTTGCCTCCTCCTCTCCTCCACAAGTTCCCTTTTTGCTGGGATATCCCTGGATTTGGGGCTTCCCTGGGATTCTCCCAACCCACTCCTCGCCCCAGGGCCATCCTGGGGGTCCCCCAACCTCATCTGTGCCCTCCTCAAATCCTGAAGCCCCCCTTGGATTCATGGATTCCCTGCTCTTCCTCTCCGCCCGCCGGCTCGTCGCCCACCGCCCCCTTCCTACTGTCCCCGCCCAGCTCTATCCCGTCCTCTTCCAAGCTGCATTCCTGGATGGGAGACCCCTAGTCCTGCAGGATTTGGTGGCCCAGTGGCCATTCCCAGTCCTCAACTTCCAGGGGATCGTGGGGCGCCGGGAGCTGCTCCGGGATCATCCCTCCAAGCTCTGCATCCAGTCTGTCATCCTGGCCGTGGTGGACCAGCTCCGGCAGGATCTGGAGGAAGCAGGCCATGATTCCAGGTGAATCTTGGGAATTCCAGAATACACAGAACCCACTTCTGTGGTTTTTCCCTGCTTGTTTATTCCTGTTTTTCCCATTTCCTGGCCCAGCCGGTGCCGTCTCCGTGTGCTGGATGTGACGGGACTCCGGGATGATGCTGCTGGCCGTGCTCCGGAAGGGATGAGTGTCTGGTCTGGCACCGTGGCCCTGGCCAAGGCTTGTGTGGAGGTCTCCAAACACCAGCGGGAACTCCAGAAATGCAGATCCAGGAGCCACAAGGGCCGTTCCGGCACCACGGCAGCTCCACGATTCATTGACATCCACGCTGATCTCTTTGTCAATGGAACATCCTATGGGATCCTGTGGGATGCACTCCAGGCCGGGAACAGCAGCCCACTGCGCCTCAAGTGCCGGGAGTTCCAAGCCGAGGAGCTCTGCCTGGCTGGAATTGTGAGTTTGCTGAAATCCTTGGATCCCTCTGGCGTAAGGAGGGTGGACCTTCGCTTCAACAACCTTGGACTGGGGGGTCTCTCCTTGGTTTTGCCACATCTCTCCCGATTCCTGGGTCTCCGAAGCCTCCGACTTCCCTACAGCAATGTCGACGTGCGGCGGCCGACGCCGGAGTTGGTGCTGGGAATCCAGTGTCTGGCCAGGGAGCTGGGAAAGCTGCAGAGCCTCAGGGAGCTCAACCTGGGATCCTCCAGGCTCTCTGGGAATTTGAGGCACATTCTCTGGTAAGTTCCTGCTGGAACAGATTCCCAGCTGCATTCTTCCTGCACTCACTGAGGATTTGCAAAGGTTAGACTTGGTGGTATTAGATATCTTTTCCAACCTTAGTGACCCCATGATTCTGTGATTTTGCTATCCCAATACTCCGTGACTCCATGCTCCCATGATTCCGTTATCCTGTAATTCCATGATTTCATGACACCAAGATCCCATAATTCCTTGACTCCAGGATTCTCAAAGGTTGAACTTGACCATCTTCAAGACCTTTTCCAAACTGAATACCTCCTTGACTCCATGATCCCAGAATTCCCTGATTCCTAGTTTCCAGAGGACAGCAAGCGCTGCATCCCGGAGCTCCACCAGCACCAGGTGCTCCTGGCTGGCTCCATGACTCCATAATCCCATCACCTCATGATTCCATGATTCCATAACTCTGTAATCCCATAACCCAGTAATTCCATAACTCCATGATCTGATAATTCTATGACCCCATGATTCCATGATGCAATGAATCCATGATCTCATGGCTCCCACAGTTCCATGATCCCATGACCCCCACGATTCTGTGACCTTGTAGTTCCATGATCCCATGACTCTATGATTCCACAATTCCAAGGCTCCCTGATCTCATGACTCCGGAATCCCATAATCCCATGATTCTCAAAGGTTGGATTTGATAGTCTTAGAGGTCTTTTCCAACCTCAGTGATTTCCTAATTCCATGATTCCATGATCATGAAGGGAATCATGGGTCTTGTTTGCTGCAGTTCCCCCAGGAATTTGGGAGCCATTCCAACATTTCAAGGTTTCATGGAGGGTTTGATCTATTGGCGCATCCCTCCCAGCTCCATGATGTCACCACAGGGTCACATCTCCTTTTTCATCCTGGCAGCAAACTCGAGGCTCCATTGGAAAGCTTGGAACTGGCCTTCTGCTCCCTCCTTCCCGCTGACTTCGCCTTCCTCTCCCAAAGCTTCCACGCTCCGGCCCTGAAAAGGCTGGATCTGAGCGGCCATGATTTCTCCCAAACTCTTCTCCAACCCCTTCAGCATCTCCTGGAGGAAACCTCGGCTTCCCTGCTCCACCTGGACCTCATGGAATGCCGGCTGACAGACTCACACCTGGATGCCCTGCTGGTGTCACTCCGGCACTGCTCCTGCCTCCGCTCCCTCGGACTCTTTGGGAATTCCTTCTCCACAACAGGGCTCAAGGATTTATTATGGAAAACTGTGGTCCTGCCAGATCTCCGCCTGGTCGTGTATCCTATCCCTGTGGATTGCTACAAGTCAGGACTGGATCCTGGCTGGATTTTGGAGGAGCAGCTGGACAGGGAATGTTTGGGAGCAGTGAGTGCAGAGCTGGGCCGGATGCTGGAGAGCTTTGGAAGAGCTGACATCGTCTGGACTTCCAACCCCTATGGACACGAAGCCCTGGATTACTTCTGCTTGTAGCTGGGGAAGAGCTTGGAGCCTTCAGCCTGGAGAAGTGCTGTGGCCTCAGTGCCTCCTTCCTCAAAGAATTTGTGTGTATTCCACCTCATTTCAGTGTTTTTCACCTTATCGCAGTGTTTTTCAACCTATTTTGGTGGTTTACCGCCTCATCTCACTGTTTCTCTACCTCATTCTGGTGTTTTCTGCCTTATCCTGGTGTTTTTCCTCTAAACCCATTGTCTTTCCGCCTCATCCCAGTGTTTTTCCACCTCGTTTTGGTGGTTTTCTGCTTTATCCTGCTGCTTTTCCCCCATCACAGTGGTTTTTTCCGCCTTACCCCAGTGTCTTTCTCCTTCTCCTAGTGTTTTTCCACTTCATCTTGGTGCTTCTCCACCTCATTTTGGTGGTTTTCCACCTCGTTGTGGTCTTCTCCCACCTCATCCTGGTGTTCTTCCATCTCATCCAAGTGGGTTTTTGCCACGGCCCGATGGAGAAAGGAATAGGGACGTGACACTGCACAGAGGGTTCTGACAAGGTGGAAGGTCAGGGTGCAATGTCCACTTTATTGAGGGGGAACAAGGACTTATATAGGGTTTGAGTGAGGGGAGGTCTGATAACCAGGGCAGAGCATGGGATGGACATCTCAGGGTATTGCAGGATTGGAGAATGAGGGAAAGTGGGAGGAACTTAGGAGGAGTTAAGCAGTGGGGACCAATGGGAGCTCACTCCGCACTGCGGCACTTGTCGGCCAATCAGTGGGGGATAAGCGAGAATGCAGGGGAGAACAAGGTGGTAAACAACTTTTGATGGGAAAACTTGTGGACAACTACAGACATGTTTGGGGCAATACAATCTAAGGGGATTAATATAGAGGAATATATGTAAGGGTACATAAAACATGGGACGAACTGGGAAGTAACACAGAAGTCCGTAATTTATCGTCTTCTCTAAGCTCCATATAAGTCTCTCCAGGCTTGGAATCGTTCCCACTCACTCTGATGTTCCTCCACAGGTTTTGACCTCATTTTGGTATTTTTCCTGTTATCCCAGTGGTTTTTTGCCTCATCCCGATGGTTTTCCACCTCATCCCAGTGTTTTCCAGTAACTTTTGTTACCACCTTGTCACCAGCCGTAGCTGGGACAGACCTGGTGTCACTGGAAACCTCCCGAACTCTGCTAATTAACAGTGGATATTAATTAATTACTAATTAATAAATCAGCATCACTTGGCTGGTGATGAAATTCCTGCCAAATCACCCCTAAATCCCACTCTCCTGTATCCTGAATCCCAGCACTTCACAGTGAGGAATCAGCATGGTGAGTTCTGGTTTTTTTGGGGAGTTTCATGGAAATAAAAGGATCCCAGTTGCCATGGAAACACCCATCCCAGTGCCAGGATGGGCTTCCCTCCAATTTTAGGGATGTTGGGGGGTCCCCTGGTGCCAGGGGTCTCTGATTCTACCATATCCCATTGCCATGGGAGTGATGGGAATGGTTGGGGGGGTCTCAAACTCCACCATATCCTGCTGCTCTGGGAGTGACTGGGATGGTTGGGGGTCAAGCCACCTGTTTTTCAGGAATACCAGCCCAGGGACCCCCCAAGCACCCTGAACCAACCAGAGACCCTTCCAGCCCCCCCGAAGCAGCCCAGGGACCCCTCCAGTCCCCCTAAACAAGCCCAAGAACCCCTCTAGCCCCCCATCCCAGGGAGCCCCAGCCCTCCTAAACCAGCCCAGGGAATCCCTGCCAAGGACCCCCCCAGAAACCCCCTAAACCAGCCCAGAGACCCCCCTCAAACCCCCCCAAAACCAGCTCCCCATCCTAAAGGACTCTGCCAGCCCCTTCTAAAACCACCTCAGGGACCTCCCAAACCACCCTCAGATCGCGTGTGTCTGTCACACCCGTGTACCACCCAGGTGTTGTCATCCCCCCTCTCCTCCCCGGTCTGTTCCCTTCACAGACCCAGGAGGGGACAGGCACAAGTGTCCCACGTGTCTCTGTCCCCACAGGTGTGCACACACACCTGCACACAGGTGTTGCTCAACAGGTGTTTATTGGTGTTCCTATCACCACGTGGCCTCCAGGGGGCGCTGAAGGGAGGGGTCTCAGGTGCCCCAGGTGTGCGGGCACAGCCCCCTCCCCAGAGCCCCGGGTGTCACCTGCTCACAACCCGCAGTTATACGTCCGCTCTGCCGTGGTCCTGCGGGACTCGGGGGGCACTGAGGGAGTCCCGGGGGTCCTTGAGGGCATCTCGAGGGGCCCCTCAGTGGCCTCAAAGTGGTCGACACGGAAGGCCCAGCGCCCCGGGACCCCCAGGTTGCTGCGGTGGCTGAGGGTCTGCACAGTGGGCGTGCGGGACCCTGGCACGTTATAGTAGTGCACGTCGTCCCCGCTGTTAAACCCGGCCTGGGGGCATATGGGGGGACACACAGGGGGGAGGACAGGACAGGGTGGGTGGTGAGGGGGCAGTTCTGCCCCAGTTCCCGCAATTTTACCCAAAAGGAGATTTATTTCACCCCAATCCAGTCATTCCACCCAAAATTCCCTTAATTGCACCTAAAATCCCCCTAATTTCAGTTAAAATGCACAATTTCACCCCAAATCCCCTTAATTCCACCCAAAATTCCCTTAATTCCACCTAAAATCCCCGATTTCACCTAAAATGACCCTACTTCCACCTAAAATCCCTGATTTCACCTCAAATCCCCTTAATTCTCCCCCAGAACTCTTTACCCCCCCATCCCAGAACCCCCCTAGCCCAGTGTGGGGGTCCCTGGGGGTGTCCCCGTGTCCCCACCTGTGCAGGGATGCCCCCCAGTCCAGTGTGGGGGTCCCCCATGTTGGCAATGCCTGTTGTCCACTGCAAGTCCCCATAGTTGAGCAGGACAAAGCAGGTGACACCATCGGAGGCCAGCACGGCCTGGAAAGTGTTCACCTGGGGGGGACATTGTCACCATGTCACACTGGCACTGCCACCCCCAGCTGTGTCCCCAGTCCTGTGTCCCCCAGAAAGTTGGGGACACCATGGCTGGGGACACTATGGTTGGTGCCACTGTGGCTGGGGACACCTCACTTGAAGGCCAAGCCACTTGAGCCCCCTCCCCTCCTTGTCCCATGTCTCACCTTGTCCGAGGCGGCCCCAAAATAGGCCACACGGTCCCAGGTGGCCACGAGGGCCCAGGTGGGGCGCGGTGGGGGATCCCCTGGGGGCACAGTGGGTGCCAGGTCCTGTGCCAGGCGCTCCAGCAGCTCAGGGTCACGGCTCTGGCGGTACCAGACATCCCCCCCCAGCCGCGTGTCCACGTCAGCCCAGTACGGGGCCACGAAGGGGCGGTGGCCAGGCAGCGGGAAGGGCTGGGGAGTGAACTCAGGGACCCTCGTCCCGAACGACACCACCCCATTGTTGTTCACCTGGGGGCAAATGGCACCTGTGAGACACCTGGGGAGCACCCACCAGTGACCCCCCAGTGGTCCCAGTTATGACACTGCCAGTCACAGTGACCCCAAACCGAGTGTGACCCCAGAACATCCCAGAATGGGCCTGGGACCCCAAGTGTCACCCCAGAACCTCCCCATATGGAGCTAGGATCTTCCAGTATGGGACTGGGACCCCCCAGGATGGACCTGGGACCCCCAGTGTCACCCCAGAACCTCCCAGGATGGGCCTGGGACCCCAAAACCACCTGGAGGTCCTGCAGGTGTCCCCCATGTCCCCAGGGGTCTCCACTCACCCATGTGGCCAAGAAAGGAGATGCCAACAACTCTGGTGGCCCCCATCCCACTTGCCATCCCCCCCTCCTGGTGTCACCCCCCCAATGCCACCCTCCATGTCCCCTCTGTGTCCCTCCAGTCACATGACCCACGTAGCAAGAGCGGTGGCCACTCCCGAAGAAGGAGAAGTTTTCCCACAGAAAGATCTCGGGGCTCGTCCCGTCGTCCTCATGGGGAGTGGGCTCATCCCCCACGCCCGGCCCAAAGGGGTACAGGACCCCCCCTGGGGACACACCACAGTCAGGGATGCCTGACACTGCCCAGGATGAACTGGGGCACCCCAGGATGGGCCTGGGACCCCCAGTATGGAGCTGGGACCTCCTGGTGTGAGTCTCAAACCTCCCCATGTCACCCTGGGACCTCCCATTATGGGCCTGCGACTCCCAGTTGTCACCCCAGAACCTCCCAGTATAGGCCTAGGATCCCCAGTTGTCACCTTAGAACATCCCAGGATGGAGCTGGGACCTTCCAGAATGGGACAGGGACCTCCCAAGATGGGCCTGGGACCTCATACTGTGGGACTGGAACCTCCCAGTTTGGGTCAGGGACCTCCCAGTTTGGGCCTTGGACCCCCAGTGTCACCCCAGGACAGTATGGG